GGAAGTCTGAAGGAAGGGGCAGATTTTTTTCGGTTGTGTACTTTCAAATTCTAGCGCACTCGAGCTGGTTTCTCCATTCTTACCTACCCTACCTTTTAATAAATGCAGGCACATTTTTAGCACCTATTCATACTAAATCAGTTGTCCCTCCCCCTGGTGCCAGGACCAACAGATCCATCTCTAAGCTCAGCAGCCCTGTCCCCCCATAATGCTGAACCTGAACCAGCTTTTCTCCCAACTGAAGGAGGTGAGCAGCATTGTGTTGAATTACATGAAACTTAACATATTTGAAGGTAGACTATATATATATATATCAAAACAAAAAGCTAACATCTTATTTTAATTATACATTTCAAACACAGTATTTTCCCACATAGCCAATGATCTATATAAAACAAAAAACTGCTTTTAGTCTATTTGGATGATGGACAGTTTGAAGCGTTGAGTGAGGCTGTATTAGGTAAACTAAAATGTTAATCACCGACACTTTGGTTATGATATTAATACTAATGTTATTATATTAAAGCAGGGGTGGGGAACCTCCGGCCCCCGGGCCATATACGGACCGCTAGACCATTTGGTACGGCCCTCGAGGTAATTTATAAACAAAGTGGCCTGTGCCTGGTGGTGGGGCCCAATGTGATATATTTTCATGGGGCCCAAAATCCCTGGCGGCGCCCCTGAGGACCTGACATGGACTTATCACACTAACAGCATCACCAAAACAGCTAGACGGCGGCTCTTTTTTTAAAAATTGTATTGAACATGTTAGAAACAAAAAAAACAATAATAATAATTCAAGGTTCAAGGTATAAAAAAAATGTATTCTCAAAGTTTCTATCATGTTCAAAAGGGTCAAGAAGAAGCTTAAAAACGTTTAATATTTATTCTGGTCCTACCCCTGGACCAGAATAAATATTTCATGTAAAATTACAGTAATAGNTGATCGCTACCGACCGACCACCAGGCTTGTATGATGACATATAATGCCCATTGGTAGATTTCTGGCAGGTCGTCTGGCTGACGTCATCCCTCCTTCCATCCGATCCCTGTAACTTTTACCAAGAAAAAACATCGATTGATATTCAATATATTGGTAGATTTTACATCGACATACTTTATCTGTATACATTTTTTTGTAATATGCTACACATACCTATGCTAATCCCTTAAAAACCAAGCCCTTCGGGGGGGTCCATATGTATATATTTCTGAATCACAACTAAATATGTGTGAGGTGTTTTTAAAAGATTTACGTGGGAACCAATAAGCTTGGTGCCTTGAGTGTCAGAAGGTAAGAGAGGATTGACAGATGGACTAAGAACATTGTTTAGATATATGGTCTTTCCATTGGACAAGAAGAAAAATAATGAATAAGCACAACCTCATCGTATAAAGAACCAAGCTGATGGATTTAAAATGCGTTTAGATCTGTTGATGAGATTCACCAGTTTATGTATAAATATTCTCAACCTCATGCTCCTATAAGTAAAAAGACATAATTATCTAAAATTGAGCCTGAACACTAGGACTTAAAACACCACATGTTGACTGACAAATGGCAATTACAATGACTTACCATATACTATATTATTGCACCTGGCAAGTAATTCCAGGCTGTTGTGAGGCCAAATGGGGCTCTAATAAAGGTACCAGACAGGTACATTTAATAAAATTTGCTCCACAGAGTAATATGACAATTTGGTATAAAAAGACAAGTGTACCTTTTGCAAGATCGCCAGATGGTTGGCTAGTTCTGGCCAACAACTCCTCCCTTCTTCTGGAAGACAGATGTCAGCTGAGGTACGATGGCTGTCCAACTGTGCCATGAAAGGCCTGTTTCAAGTGGGATAGTGTTGATACGCTGGAATGTCAGCATGTATCTGTTATGCAAAAAAAAAAAGACAGAAGACAAAGAGCACATTCAGACATTGGTGGTAATGATATTTTGTATCTACTATATAATTAAAGGATAGATTCTAATTTATGACCTCCTCATTAACCAAGTCCATTGATAAGATGTGTATTGGTGTACAGTTTGTTCTAAACCAAGTATTCCCTATTAACTAAGGTAGATTGCAAAGAATCAAAAACTAGACCTGAAGCCTGTATGGTTGGTTTAAACCTTGCTAATACTTTTTTTAATTGACAATGGGTAAATGTTGAGTATAAAGTGAAAACCCCAATTCCAGCAGCAGCTGTTTTTCTCAGACAATCAAACAGACAGTTAGAGAATAGCTGGTGAAGAAAGCAGAACATTGAGCAGCTAAAAGAGCCAAAATACTTTACTAAGGAGTTGGTGCAGAGCATAAACAGAGCCAAAAGTTAGTGAATATTGGACTTATCAGATGGACAGAAACACCATTTCAAATGTATGATCATGTTGCTCTGTATCAGCTCGATGTGTACATTAAATAGGCATTTCACAATACATTCACCATGTGAAATATATAACTTACCTCATCAATATGGAGTATTGTGAGTAAGGTTCTGTTCCACATCACACCAACATCAGATAGCAAAACCTGCAATAAAAATAAAGATGAGCAGAAATTAAAACTAATAATAATGGTAAATGAAAAAAGGTAATTGATTGCCAATGATTACTAACTTGTGTTAGGCCAATGACTCAAAATCCTAAAAACTCCTTTGTGACAAACAATGTAACGTTTTTTTTTTAAAAAACTTTTGCTAAATGTTTAGACAAATTGCTTGTGTGCACTTACATGCTGAACTGTTATTGCACTTGATGCTTTTCTTAATTCTTTCATTGTACATGTATAATGACATTAAATGATTATATTCTATAGCATAAAAGCAATAAATGATTTCTAACTTTTGGCAAACTACCTAGTAGCTAGTAGGCTAGGTAGGCTTTGAGAAAAAAGATTATTAATGTACCCCTTTTAGAAGTGAAGTTATAGTCATTTGTTCTGGGAATGTCATTTTCGAGCCTGAGACCTAAAAAACAGGCTTGGGGCTTAACAGGTTAAACTCTTATTTTTTCTACTTCTTATTTTCAGTGATGACCTACCCAGCAGAGTCAGTGCAAATTGGCTACCAGAACCACGTAGAGGACATTCGCTCCTTCCTCGACAGTCGCCATGCCGACCATTACACTGTCTTCAACCTGTCACAACGCAACTACCGCGGTGCCAAATTCTCCAACAGGGTGAGTTTGATTCTGCCTCATGAAGCCATTACAGATTTATTTGTTTTTGATATAAATGTAGTTATTGGTAGGTGCATCTTTTTTTCTTCAGATTATTATAAAACTAGAGTGAGACCCACTCGGTAGCAAGTTGTGCCAAAACCCTCAGAGAAGTATCACAAGTTCTGACTCATACTCTGTCATACCCAACAAGCGAAGATTGACTTCTACAGAGTTATTTTAGCATCCGCTGTACGTTAACTGTCCAACACCAAACAGCAGACAGACTGTTTTTAACAAACAAACATTTATCAGACAGATAATTCCTCAGGAGTTAATAGAGGCCTCTTACATAAAAAGTGAATATTAGACTTCATGTGAACAGAGACCTAATTTAAAATGAATATACATGCTTTGTATATTTCAAATTTTCCAAAATAGTCATTTATTTTCCAAAAAGGCAAAATGTCATGCAACTATCATATTGTCCTAAACATGATATATTCCTTTACTTTACTGACACCTGGCAGAGCATGTGAGCGTAGCAGCCTGAAGCAAAAATGATCCCCACTCCACCTCCCTCACATGCCGGTAAAACATTTGTGGTGCGTTAAATTTGGTTCTCTTCTACACAAATGCATTGTTGCATTTGCTATAGCTCTGTTAAATGGGCTGGATGCTACTCTCCTACACAGGAGCAACATGCAAATATGATCACAGTCTTCAAAAATGTCTGTCAAACCCCCCTCAAAAAAAATCTAAAATGAGGAGGAGTGGTATCTTTTGAAAACAAGTGGAATAGTTCCTAGTGAATATCAAATAGTGCTTACATCACTTAACTCACCTATCATGCTTTGAGGATTATTACAATAGTCGCAATGAACAAAATATCAATTTCAAATACATTTATTTTAATAATTAGTATTGTTTTTGAAATGTTCAGTCCAAATGTAACACAGCAGCAATTCAACATGCATAATTTACATTGTTAACTTCAGGAATAACTACTTGTCTTTGGATAAATATTTACTTTATTGGTAACTACTAAAAGTGTTCCAGCTACTGTAAATCTCCATTTACAAAGCAAGATTTGAATCTGAATGCTCTATTTCTATTATTCTATCCCATCTTATGGTTATGACTAACCTCAGCATAGGGTCTTTGGTTTGTGTCATTTAGCATTTAGCACAGATTGTAGGAGTCAAATATCTATAGATTGCCACGGCCACCCTCTGACAGAAAACATCCAAAAAAGCTGAAAAGTCAATCTGTGGCGTTAACACAGCGAATATGGCCCCCTGTCTGCTTGTGGAGGTCGCTGTATCTCTCACATATCTTCCTATTTCTTTACCTTACTTCTTCCCTCTTTCTCCCTGCCTTCATATGCTTGTTTACATTTGCCTCCTCTGTTTCCGTGTCACTGCCTGTTTCCCTCATCCCCCTATCTGATATTTTGCTCCAAATTCTTTCCAGGTTTCCGAGTGTAACTGGCCTTCTCGTCAGGCTCCCAGCCTCCACAACCTTTTTGCTGTGTGTAAAAACATGCACAACTGGCTCAAACAGAATCCCAAGAATGTGTGTGTCATCACCTGCTCGGTAAGACGATGCTCATTATATACATATCATACACTTTTTTCATATTTGTTCATTGTTGGCCTGACATTGTACATTGCCATTTAGTTTACTATAACTGCATAAGTAAGGTTATCTTACTGTGAAGCACCTGTTTGGGTTGTCCCAAAACACATCTCCATGTTTTTCGGGTTGTGTTTTAATTGAATGAACATAGACAGACACATTAAAACTCAAAATCAATTGATTTCTAAGGTATTTTAAACTACAGTGTTTCGTGCCATATACATTTAGTTGTCAACGCAAAGGATTTGTCATCTTGGCTGTGTCATTATATAAAAAAGCACTTTAGAGAAACTTTAGTCTTGATATCAACTTAAATCTAAAAGGGAAAACGAGTATAAAACATGGTGATTAAAATTGGGACAGTAAATAGCATAATAGGGCCCCTATAAGAAAATTATTCAAACTGTTGTTTCATACAGTTTCACTTTTAGTAAGATGATTTTAAAACTGTCAGGCAAATTTCAAGCACAGCTTAAACCCTACATACAAATGTTTCGCAAAACAATCACTAATGAAGCACTCAATGAAACAGGTCTTTCTGTCTGTTCTAAATAAGTGATAGCCACACTGTACACTGGAATGTGGGAGACCATGTTATTGCCAAGTCACTTTGGTTTGGCTGGGTCTTGGCAAACAGTTCCAAGTTACATAACTTCCCCTAAACGGGTCCATCCGTTTTTTTCTCTGCTCCGGATCACAAGAATGTTGAAGATGATGTATATAACATTGGCTTCATTCAGAGGTGTTTTTAGAGTTGGTCTGTTTGGACACGTCTTCATTAGTAATTTTTGTACACTTATGTATTAAATGAACTTCTTTGTGCTATGACATACAGTAGGCAGCTTCAATTTTAACAGTTGTTCACAGACCTGTGTCTTGTCTGAGATAAAGTCACAATGTTCAGTGGCTGGATCTATTCATGGCCCTACACGCTGTGCAGGGGTTCAATTGCATGGCAGAAATCACCAAACAGTATATTATTGAAGCTTTAAAATATAATAGTTACCCAGCATATAATTTGCTTTGTGTTTATAGGATGGTCGGGCTCCCTCGGGTGTTTTGGTTTGTGCCATGTTCTGCTTCTGCCACCTCTTCAACAATCCAGTTCCTGCCATGCAGCTGCTCAGCGCCAAGAGACCAGGATCTGGCCTGTGGCCCTCACACCGCAGGTCAGTTTCAACTAATATACTTTATATGTGTGGGTGACAGAGAATTAGAAATATAAAAGGGGAAAAGAAGCAAAGGAACATGGGAATAAAAAATGTTAGACGAAGTAGGAGAAGGGGGGATTGTTTTTTTACCAAGAGATTACAACAACAGTTTTTGAGGTTTGTAACATTTACTTAATCAGCAGGTTATACCAAGAGCTGGCCGCCCCTCAAGGATGGACATTTTAATACCCTGCCAGCCAGTTCTGCATCATTTATTAGTCCTTGTTAGAGATTCAGTGCAAAATGAATAAGAGTTTATGGAAATAGCAGCAATAACTCATCCTTATCGTACACACATAACAAAACAAAAAGTGAGGCATTTGACATTGAAAACTAACACAGAGCGATTATCTTTCTTTCTCTCCATGCAGGTACATAGGCTATGTGTGCAGCATGGTATCGGAGAAGCCCAGTCTACCCCATTCCAAGCCCTTGATGATCAAGGGTCTTACAATAAGTCCAGTACCCTGCTTTAACAAGCAGCGTAGCGGCTGTCGGCCTTTCTGTGACGTCCTTATTGGAGAGACAAAGATCTTCAGCACTGCACAGGAGTACGAGAGGATGAGGTAGGGGCAGCACTATCTCATTTTAATTGTATAAGCCTTAAATAGGAATCGATACTTATGATACATTTGAAGATATAATCACAGAGATTTACATCATGCTTTTTATTCCTTATGCTCCACTCCCAACTTTCTTTGTCTCTCTCTAATTTGCCCATGTTTTTCTCCCTCCCACACACTCTTCATATCCAGAGAGCACAGGATCCAAGAGGGTAAGATCGCCTTTCCTCTAGGTGCGAGTGTACAAGGCGACGTCATTGTTTCAGTGTACCACATGAGGTCAACCATCGGAGGACGTCTCCAGGCCAAGGTCAATTTCATTTGCCTTTTTCACAATGATAATGTTGTTTGCACAAGATATATTATATTGAACTATTATCATCAAACAGTCTCAGGATGGGGCTGCTACTCAATTGAACATCTTTCCAACAAGTCACAGACACATAATATGATAGGTAAATTGTTGTAAGGAATTATTGATAAATCTATGATAATAGATGTATTTAGGATTGCAATGCAACATGTGATACAACAATGCATTTGACTATTGATGCAACTAAGAATGGTAGGCCTACACTACAAAAGCACATAGTCCAAGCATTTGATCTGTTGTTATTAGGTTTCAAACACACAGATCTTCCAGATTCAGTTCCATACTGGCTTCATTGCTCCTGGTACCACCGTGCTAAAGTTTAGCAAGTAAGGACTTTTTTTCTATTTGATAACATATATGAGAATGGAAGAAAAAAAAACCCTGCTGAGTAGTCTGTTTTCCCTCTCACTCTAACAAACATACATTTTCCCTGTCAGACCAGAGCTGGATGCATGTGACTCTCCTGAGAAGTATCCCCAGCTTTTCCATGTGATACTGGACGTGGAAGTAGAGGGGGTGGACAAGCAGAAAGACCTGACGCCGCCTTGGGAGCAGTTCCCCTGTAAGGACCTCAACCCCAATGTGCTCTTCTCCTGCCACCAGGAAAATCAGGACGCCCTTGCTATCGCTGGTAACGTTGGGATGGGTAGCTTACACTGGGTACTAAACTGCCTCTGCTCATTTGAACTGCACACATTTTTTTATCAATAACATAGATATTATATACTAATAAAGGACTGGCTTATCTAAAGCCAGTTGAGTAGCACTTGAAATGTTTGGATCTATGAAACCTGATGTACTTATATGATTCTGTTTTCTTCAAGGTTGTATCTTCCTGGTCGAATGTACTTATTGTAAGTCGCTTTGGATAAAAGCGTCAGCTAAATGCAATGTAATGTAATGTAATGTAATTTACAAACTCTTCAACTAGAACCGTAGTTATAGAAGGAATCTGTGTATGACCAGTGCTTGAATTGGGCCGGTACTCACCGGTACGCAGTCCCGGCACTTCTGATTTTACCCTTGTACTCAGCCGCCGGCAGCCTTCGGCACGTCATGACGCATGTCAACAAATATGCCGGCGACATCTCATGACGCATCTCATGACGCATCTCTGACGCACCGCCGCGATAGACTAGATCAGAAAATAAATCACATAACGACGACGTTAGCATTTAAAAAAATGTTAGCCGTGGCTTATTGAGTCCGAAAAGACACGGGTTGTCGCCGGACAAGGACACCCGACTGCAAATACAGAAAATGCCGTGTGCCTGTGTCTTGAAATGTGCCTTCTCTCGTCGACCCTCTCTGCTCCTATTAGTTTTGCTCATGATTTCACGCACGCTTGAGCTCCAACTTACGCAGCCTTTACATCGTGCGCGCCTTTGCTTACACGTTCTGCTGCTGCAGGCGCAAACTACCACCAACAACCACCGGCAAAGCGATGCACCTGACTGCTGGACAAGACCAGGTGGGACTATTTTTTGCCCAATGATCACATGGCTCATTTGTTAGAGACACACATAAAAGCGTGCGAGATTTGTAATACGAGAACTAATGTTTTGTATAACATACGCGACGGTGCTGATGATCATATCTTGTGTGGGAAACGAGCTCTGGCATCTAGAAGGGAGAGCTCTTCTCGATTTTGTCTAGATTTTATTGGGGTCTGTGATCACATCTTTTAACTCTCTTCCAACTGTGCAATCAGGCTACAGATCGTCATATAACCTCATGTTCTGGGAGCAGTAATTATTGCAGATCGGCTGATGCGACACGTTCATATTGTCTCTTTTGTGTCTAGGTTGTCCGTTATCAACCACTGTTTTGCTCAACAATATGGTCTAAAATTCTCATGCATATTGATTTTGAGAATATAAATACACGATAAATCATCATTCAAACAGATATAACTCTGCCAAACAAGTGAACCATTAGAAAACTTATAATCCCTTTTATTTTATAGGCCAGTTGTGACGCGTTTGCACCTGTCGGCCACTCATACAATTATCCTACTGACCAAACAAGAACATGCTGATGACTTATTACACTATTCTTAAACCAATACCCAAGAACAGCTCTCTGCTGTGAAGTGATTTTTGGTAGGCAGACACCAGTTTGGATTGCAGGTCAATGAAGCCAACACCAAGGGCCAGAGAACGTAAGCTAAAGAACAGGTCAGTTAGGCTACTCTACAGGATCTTGGTTACTAAATTATACAAATGTTTCG